GCTGATGTCAGCAAAAGTCCATTAAGGGTTATCAGAGATAACATATCTATTTTTACCTTGATGAAATAAACCAACATTATATTCCTTTCTTTTAACAATCTTGATCTTTAGTCCCTTCAAATAATGTCCTAAAATTTTATTTCTTTTCATTTTTTTCTTTGTACCTTCTCACAAAATTCTTCAAAGCTTTAACAAGCTTCTTTTATAAATCCAATTTAGGAAGGTCATCCAGGTTACTCTCTTGGTTTGTTATTTGTATATTCCTTTTAATTATTAAGACATCAGCTGGTTTCTTTTGTATGTCCAGTGTAGCATCTTTTTCCATATCATTCTTGTAGCTCATCATTTTTAAACCCACTTTTGGATCAATCTCAGTCTTGTCCGGTAAAACCTGTTCCTTTTCTATAACATCTTTTAAACACAGTCTATTCATAGAGGCAGACACTCTTAAAATTAACTTCTGGGTGCACTGTTCACAAATATCCTTCAATATGTCCAGTGGTAAAATATTTTGTTCCATTCTGTATTAGTAAGTCAAATGTAAGTGTTCTTCTCCTTTAACTGTAATTTTTAGTTCCTTCTAGTTCCCTCTACTGTCCAACCTTCAAACTCCCATCCTATCAGGTTTTTTTTTTAAAGAATTCAGAACAAAAGTATTTTCTCACAGGAAGGATTCTTATAATTAATTCCAAAATCTTATTTCAAATTTATCTGGACCCTTAGTCCATTTGTAACTTTCTAAAATCAAAGTTTTAATCACTCTTTTGTTGTTTACTCCAGAAAAAAAAAGTCCTTATATTTGTACCGTATGATTCTTATAATTAATTCCAAAATCTTATTTCAAATTTATCTGGACCCTTAGTCCATTTGTAACTTTCTAAAATCAAAGTTTTAATCACTCTTTTGTTGTTTACTCCAGAAAAAAAAAGTCCTTATATTTGTACCGTATTTAAAACTTTTTTGCTAAGGATTGAAGGAAACTCACCTGGTGCTGTAAAACTTACTGATCCAAAGGTTCCCAATATCAGAAAAGCAGTTAACAAGTAATTTCTGAAAGTGATTAGAAAAGGAAGTATGCAAACCCAGTGTCCTTAAGGGCGCCAACC